TAGCACCCTTAAAAAGGCATGAAAACTTTACGCCTCCCTCCTTCCCCCCCCCCCCCCTCTCTCTCTCTCTCTCTCTCTCTCTCTCTCTCTCTCTCTCATGCACTCCTGCCCCCAGCCACACACACGAACACATGTAGTAAACACAACACTGTGCCCATTACGTCGATTGCGATCAACCGGTAGATTGAGGACTGGTCCCAAGTCCATCGCGAGGGGTATAGAGGGGGGAAAAAAACAACCATTGGTGTGTCTTTCTGCATGTTGGTAATATATATTTTTGTTTTAATGTACACTGCACCCTAATCATCCTATCAATCTCATTTTCACAAAAAGTATTAAAATAAAATAAATAAATAAATAAAGCAGGTAAATCTTTAACCTAAAGTGGCGCGTGACCCGCGTCACCGGAGGTTGTTTGCACTCAGCAGTCTGCAATTGCAGCTTGTGATCAGAGCTGTTGCGCTATATCTTTTACTGTTATCATTATTCTCATTCAGAATTTGTTTCGTGTACAAATCATCGACGGCACGGGCAAAGAATAGGAATCTAGAGGGCCGAGGGAAGCACTTTAAAACGGTACATGTGAGCTACGACAGTTAACAGGGTGCAAAAGTGTGTCGCATGCCTCCGTGTCAGGCTGTTGCTCACCATGGTGTCCGTGTGTATGCGCATGCGCATACACGGTAACGGGTCAATCGCGGGAGGTTGGTTGATGAAAAAGTCAATCTTCAGTCCAAAAGGTTTCTAGACTCTTGACACTGATCTAGGCAACCATGTGATGAAACACTGATCAAAGAGTAACCCACTGATAAGACACAAGGGAGGATGCTGGGCGGGACTGCGAAGATGCACAGCCAATCACCATGGCTGTGCATCATGGCATAGATCCACTGGTGCTGTCATTGGTCGACGTCGCGCTGGGAACTGATCAAGCGTACAGCCATGTACAAAACCTCTGAGTCATTCGGCATTTTTTCCTGAATACAGTACTTTGGGAAAAAAAACCTCATGATGCACTGAAACCGCGATAAGTGAACCGCGAAATAGCGAGGGATCACTGTCAATGAAATATTGTGGGACATAGGATTCACATTCTCAGTACAAGGTTGGTAAACATAATCAAACATTACCTGATCACAGTGACATCAGCCCATAGTTTAACAAAAGCTACATGTGGACCAAAAGCCTCCAATAAGTATGTGTAATGCCCACCAGACTTCTTAATACACGATCCCAGTTCAGCGTAGGACAAGGCACCTAGGAACAACAAGGGTGACAGATTAGCAATCAAGACCACATAGCACAGTGCATTTGCTATTTACAGTGCAACTATACACAAACACAAATGAGACTCTTACTTATTCCTAATAAAAATGTAGGTGTGAAGCTTTATTTCCATAGAGTACGGAATACACCAGACCTTGGCATGATACCAACCACATCCAGCCTTTCTGTAATCACTAGCTTTTGAAAGTGGTACTTTCATGATGAAAGTGTTTCTCCACAGGTTGAAAATCGCAGTTAATGCAAGCGCTGTTTTGTGTCATTGTGACTTAATTTTTGGAACGGTTTTCTGACTGGACATCCTCAAAAGAGCATCAAACAGCTGCAGCTCATTCATTGATTGATTTTATATTGCCAGTTTTAAGTAGTACTGACAACAAAGATAATTATAGAATAATTAAACGTTTTAGAAACAGATTTTTTTCCGTTAGTTTCAAACAGTGTTATTCTAATGTACAACAAATGTAGAATAAAATAAGACAGTGACCTACTCAGAAATGGACCAGTCAAAAATAATAAATATGTCTTATAATGTTAACATACTCAAATTAGGATCCTATATACAGCGTTAGCATCATTGCCACTTACCTTTGATGAAAATCTTCTGAACATTTTGAAATATTTTATTTTCTTTCTATTTATGTGTTTCGATGTTGTCATTGTACATTCTTATAGTAATTTTGGTCAGCTACCTTTGTTTTCTCTACTTCTGAATGCAGTTAACTGATCTGTTTGCCAATGCTTGTCGGTGTCGTGTCTGCTTGTGTGAAGCCTCGAACAGTCATCAGGAAGTTGTGTTCCTTGTGTATAAATTATACTATATAAATAAAGCGGCCTCGACTTGTGTATGTGCATGCGCGTGTGAGCGAGACAAGCAAGCATGTGCAAGAAATGTGTCTCTCACGTGGCCGCCAATTATTCGCCCACCATTGGAGTTGACCAAATATTCAGCAGACTTTGGCCTTCCCTTAGGTGCACAATCCACTGACATAAGTGAGGTGCCTATAATTGACAGGCCCTATTTGGCGGATTGGTACTGAGGTAAAGCTAATCTTGTGCTACATTACAGTACAGTACTGTATATACACAGAAAATCCAGACTACAGTGTTCCCTCACTTATTGCGGTTGATGGGGACCGGGACCCTGCCACATTAAGTGAAAAACTGCGATGGAGCGTTTGCTCAGCCCCCCCCCCCCCCCCTCCCTGTCACACTACCTCGTGTAGGTTGGTATGTTTAAAATATGTAAACTGTATTTATACTTTACATATTTGAGACAAAGACTACAGCAGTACACGTTTTTACTTAAATCTGTCATTATAAAGCCTTATACAGTAATTAACATTCATCAGCATTGCCTCCTGAGAGAGGTGTGCTACTCTCACTTTCCGACGCTCTGACAGTGTCGCCGCCATTCGCCTCCAGCTAACTCCTGGCCAGCTATCCCCATGCAGCCGATGAGTTTGTGATAAGATAATTAATCGGTATTGAGGAGGAGGAGATGAAGAGAGATGTGCTGCTTTTTTTGGACAATCACCCCCTCTCTTTCTCTCTTGTTCGCTTGTAGCAAACACAACAGCATGAAGAGACACTAATCAGAGAGTCCACAGCTGAGGAGACACTGACCCGAGTCAACAGCATGACTAGACACTGATCAGAATCAACCACATGATGAGACACTGATCAGAGTCAACCATGTGATGAGACACAAGGGAAGGTGTGGGCATGCTGGGCATGCTGGCCAGAGCCAGAATTTTTAGTAAGCTGGATGCAAAAATGGGGTTTTGGCGAATACCCCTAACACCCAATTCGGCGACGCTGACAACATTTATCACACGCTTCGGGCGCTCTTACTTCAAGCAGCTCCCTTTCGGGATAGCCTCCGCCCCTGAACACTTTCTGAACAGAATGGTAACAGAGGTTACAGAAGAGCTGGGCAGTGTTGTTTGCCACATGGATGATGTGCTGATATGGGGCCGAACACAGGAGTAGCATGATGCTTTGAAGAAAATCCAGCAGGCAGGCATCACTCTCAACGTCAAGAAGTGTGAACTGTCAAAGTCAGAGGTGACATTTCTAAGCCACGTGATCTCTGACAGTGGCATCGGGCCAGACCCAGGCAAGACTGAGGCAGTAAGGATGATGCCGGAGCCAACGAATGCAACAGAGTTGAGAAGTTTTCTCGGAATGCTGAACCAACTGGGGAGGTTTGTGCCATGGTTGGCAGAGAGAGATCATCGATAATCGAACAGCTATCAGCAAATTGTGTTCCTTTTACGGCGTGTCGCCTCCAAGAGACGTCATCTAACAACAGCCACTAAACAAGCACCGCCAGATGACATCACCACTCGGCGGTGACTCGACACGCCGCGAGTTGACATGTTTATTGTGTCTGTCCTGCTTCTGTCACTTAGCTCACGCCGAAACATGACGCTCCCTAACAATTGCTCTCCTTTTTTTTGGTTCATATATGAAAAAAAATACAACACACTTCCAGCAGACTTAAGTTTCAGCCAAAATAACCACAAGCAATTTTCATCTATTTATCTAGCCGTCCATTTGTCCAATTTGACTACGACAAACAGAGAAAAGCATCCTGGAAAAGTGGCTCGTTGTGCCATGTGTCTAATACTTTTTAACGAGAATTCAAGTGCACAAATCACCTTTCGAAGTTGCCAAACAAGTGATGTAAAGCGAGACCATCCTAGCTTTGTTTAAGACGTTAATGTTGTGATTCATCTTCCCTGTGAAGTATTATCCACAGCACTTATTGGATTGTACTTCTAAGTTTGTGGACTGTTATACTGTACCTGTATTTGATTTGTGGACGGTTGTTTTTAAAGTGTTTTAAAAATTGTTTTTTTGTTGTTGAGTATTACATCAATATCATTAAAATCAATAATAACTGGTGTTTTTTTAATCTTGCACACAATAAATACAACATTAAAAAAAACGAAGACAAAACTAATAAATCTAATGAGCTCAGTCTGTAAAGTAATCAAAACTGATGCAATTAAAAACAAAAGCAAACAAAAACATTTTAAAATGGAAACTAACGACAATTAAACGTCCCAGTTTTATCATTCTGTACTGCTGTACTGGACAAATAGCATAGAATCATGGGCCAATGGGACACATCTGATGTCATATCAGCATTAACATGTAAGTTGTCAATGTCAACGAAAGCTACCTGTACATCAAAAAAAGATTTGGAAAAGACCCTTGGAAAACGATCATCTCACACCTGATCACATTTACAAACAAGTGATGGAATTTGTAGTCACAACGTACTCTCAGACTAAGATTTTGCAAAGACTGAAGTTTGCAGGATCACTATTTACAAGATTAAAACTCGATTCTGAGGCATCTTTCCACACACATGATGCAAATGTTCCCCATCATGCTCTTGGTAGAGTCTCCTGTTTCACAATTACAACACGCACACACGCACACAAATATAGAAACGTTTGACAGTGTACCTTTAGTCACATTTTTCACATAGTCTACATTTATGAGGCATATTCGCAAAGCTCATTCAGCCAATTTAAGACAGTGGTTATTATGGTGGCCACCAATATGTTGAAGAAAATTATCGAGGACTATTGTGCCTTTGCACATATAATGTGTGCCTCTCTTTGTGTGTGTAAGTGTATGTGTGTGTGTGTGTGTGTGTGTGCGTGTGTGTGTGTGTGTTTGTTGATTGCCAAGAGTATTGAGAGTCTTGGCGTTTTTGTCTTGTTCTGGTTTTATTATATACAGTAAAATAAAAAGTACACACATGTCCCCATAGGTGGCAGGACCAGACCACAGTTCAGCCTGGGATACGTGACTGTGGCAACATTCACAGTGCAGGGCGTGATGACCAGGTCGGATTTTGTCTGTTACTATCTGTTTTGTGTACAATTTTAACCTGTCTTTCAGGTAAATAGATCTGTTACTTGGTGATGTGTTCCTGAAACCTGTAACAGATACTTCTCCTCAATGCTGAGGAGAGCTATGTGAAAAATCGTTAACTTGACATAATTGATCTCAAATCTCAGTGGTGTCATCCAGGGTACACGCGTGTATTACGGAGGATACCTATATTTTTCAGTCAGCATTGCGCACACTCACGTGTAAATACCGCCCCTGTCCATTTTGCCTCAAGGATGGTAAAACCTTGACCCACCCTTCTGTGCTTTAATTGGCTGGTACTCGATGCCTTGGCTCATTAGATTGGTCAACTCTACGTTGGATGAGCCAATCAGAGGCAGAGTAGGGCGGGTTATATTGGGGAAAAATTGCTGACACGTCAGGGGCCAGTGGAACCCCACTTGATTGACACGTGACTCTCAGTCCGCTTGAAAGATGCGCGATTATTGGAAATGTGAAAAAGGCAGAATACGTTTTTCAGGTGAGTGGCACGTATCCAGAGAACATACATACATTCAGTAAAGACATAAATATCAGGTAAGTTTCAAGGTGGTTTTCAAATGAATCATTATTTCGAACTACAAAGACTTGAAGAGACAGATTATGCTCACAGTGACAAAAGAACCTAGAACAACCTGCAAAGAAAGGGTGAACTCTATGGTCAGGGTACATCAATATGTGATTGCACCATCTGTTGTCGTCGAGCCAAAGTGGGCGACCAAGGTGGACACCACTGTTGGAAATAAATAATTAAAAAGCATGACTGGAAATGACCAAAATGCATGTTGACTAGCCGCAAATCTTTTGTGATGTGTCAATGTTCAAAAACGCAAATACGAAGCAGAGCAAGGGGGAAAAAAAACAAAACACTGTCGCCAATGTGCAACATGGAGGAGGTGCCGTTACATTTTGCTTTTATCTGGTGCAAGGTGTCTTGAGTCTGTGCATGGTACAATCTCAAGACTATCAAGGTATTCTCGAGGGAAATGTGCCACCCACTGTGAGGAAGCTTGGTCTTAGGAACAGGTCAGGGGTCTTGCAACAGGATAGTGAATCAAGCACACAGCTAAAACACCCACGAATGGCAAATAACATTGGACGATTCTGAACTCCCTTTCTATGAGGCCTGAAAAAAATCAACCATCTGTTGAAGGAGCTGAAACGTTACATCTGGGAACAGCACCCGACATAAATGCAGCAGTTTGCTCATGAAAAGTGAGTCAAACACCTGCTGATGGGTGCAAAAGTCTCATCGAAGGTTACAAAACTCATGATTACAGTGATTGCCTCACAAGTTGTGCAACAAATGTGAAGGTAAGAGGTTGTTTTTTTACTATATATTTTTGTTGAGCCACAATTCAAAAGCAAAGTTTGATTTTCATTGTTTAATTTTCCTCATATTCTCATTTGTTTTTAGTTTTGTCCAATTCTGTGGGGTTTCCTCTAATAGAGGGGTACCAACCATGCACGCGGATGGGATTTTGGACCTCAAGGGGACGAGGACCAAGTTTTATGAGGATATACATTTCATACGCACATACACATATACATATATATATATTCATTCATTCATTTATTTTCCGAACCGCTTGATCCTCACTAGGGTCGCGGGGGGTGCTGGAGCCTGTCCCAGCTGTCTCCGGGCAGTAGGCGGGGGACACCCTGAACCGGTTGCCAGCCAATCGCAGGGCACACATACATGCGCAATCTGAATGAGCACACTTTACTTGGCTCAGTCAGTGGTCTTCGCTAACCATTTTGAGGCCAAAGCAAACAGTTCCCCCCACCACCCCCTTGTCTGAAGTTAAATTTTGACGAAAGGTGAGTTATATAATTTAGGCCACTTCGTCCTGCTTTTTAAATCTGTTGCAATGATCTAACAGCAAAAGTATTATTAATTACTATTCATTTTCAGCAGCATTATTCAACATTTACTTTCGTTGACCTCTTCAACCACTTAAGCATATTGTTGATGATTAATAATATTTGTCATCTCATTAAATAGTCAACATTGATGCCATACTTTACTCACAATTTTGATTCTTGCAAAATTCCCATTTACATGCATTGGTTTCTGGAAAAGTCCATTTGGGACGATCCCTGACAATAATCCTCAACTGATCATTACCAACTCGGGTTAATTTTATTTGTGTTCCAAATCTCTAAGCAATGTTATCCTAGCTTTTGATATTTACAGATGTTTTTTTTTTTTTTTAAATAACCCAACTACAACTTGAAACTGATGATCTCCATTGAACTGATGGGAATTTCTCCATTGTGAGACAAATAAAGGTTTTCTTATCTTATCTTATTTCAGGTTTTGGACAGGTGTGGTAGAACTCACTGTGGTCCAAGGACTTTGTACGAATACTCGGACCCATGGACAATTCGGGGACCATGATCGTAATACGTACTGGCAAGCAAGTTTCCCTTACAGTTGTTCTCCAATGGTCAAAAGTTCTTTTTAGGTTGTTGTTCCTCTTTTTACATTTTCCTTCACAGTTACTCACAATAGTTGCGTAATTTTCCATGACATGTCTGCTCACAAAAGAAGCTACGCCCTATATTACTTTTTAGCAGTGGCCGGCCTTGCATTTCAACCTTAGGCCTTCAGTGACGTCACATACATACACAATACAGGCTCGTCAAGCAGCACTTAATTTCAGGAGCATTTAAAACCAAGTATGCATTCACAATTAAGAGCAGGAAACTAAATTTACAGATATTGTCAAAAATAAAAAGATGATTTAAAAATACTAAATAAAATGACACCCAAATTACGCTGTGTGATCTTAAACAAGTCTGTCCAATAAATTGCGCAATGTCGCAGTTTCATATAAGACACCAACCAAACAACAACAAAACAAACTATTCTTTGAAAATAAAGTAAACAGATCATTTGCATTTTGAAAATCGGGGATACAACAGCAAATAACTGAAAATGTTGAGCAGCTGAGATTGAATGAACTTTCGTGCACGAAGATGACTACAATGCGCCATTATAAATTGCAGGTGAGCAGATTTATTTGATACATTTTTGAATCTTTGTCATTTTATTTCGTTACCATTAATTTAATACTAACGAAATAAAATGACAAGAAGAAATGTAAAATAAAATTCATTTACTCACCAACGTAGTGCCTGTTCACTGAGCTGCAGATCTACGCGAGTGTCCCCAAACGTTTTTAAACGCACCGTAGCTTGTAAGTGCCCAGCCGTGCTCTGATGTTTCCTTGCTGCCTTGGTAAAACAACTTAGATTGGTAAATCCAGTGTGGCTACAAACACCAAATCGGTCAGCTGCAAGCAATAGGCATTCCCAGCAGTACAATTTGCATCGTTTCTCAGAGGCTGTGAGCCACGCGTACCGTTCATAATTGCTCGTCTGAAAATGATGGACAAACCCTTTTCCTTGCTGGGACAGGCTAGCTCGCGCA